ATAATGGACTATGCCTAATCTAAACTGCCGGATTCACACATCATCTTGTTCGCACTGTAAAGGGGATCCAGAAAACCCAAATCTAGGCATTCTTGCGCAAATCCATCCAGCGCATCAAAAGCGAATAAGCAGAAACATGCGGGGAAAGTAGGGTGGGGAGAAACCAAGATTCGGCTAGTCCAATCATCATCTATCTCGCCATTCCGAAAGAAAAGGCTGAATCTACCCGTTGGCGGCTCCCACGAGCAAACCCCATCTGGCCGGCGGCGGAAGCACTTGAGCAAACAACAAGGAAGGGAAGGCGCCCCATTGCAGCCCAAATCTTCGCCTTTCCCCCTTGCCAAAACCATCGACCAGAGCTGTACTACAAGACTAGAAAGCAGCCAAGAGAGGGTGGGTTAGCACTAGGTTCTTGATAACTCACGGTCAGTGGCGTCGGTGGTGGCGGCGACCAAGATTTGGCTCTGCGGCCAGACGGAGAAGCAGCAGCTAGCCAGGAGCAGCAGCGACGCCGCGCCCGGCATTCCGCCGCCCCTCCTCCTCCTCGTCCCCATCCCCCGCGCGCACCAATGCTCTCCCTCCTCCCTCTCCCCGAAAGGAAAATGCAGAGGGGAAGCGGAGGCGCTTTGGATGCTGACCGAGAAAAAGCTCCGCTCTCTCTTTTCTTTTTGGCTCCTCCGATCTCCAGGCGAGTCCGGCTGACTGATTGATCGATTTGGTTTGGTTTATGGCCTCCCCTGGGTGGCTCCCCCGCTTTTTCAACCCTCCGTGCGCCCGTGTTCTTGAACCGAGCGGCAGCGGAAAGCAGCACGGCAGCAGCTGGCACCGGACCAGGTGAGAGTGGGGCGGATGGACGGGAACCCCGTTCACTCCCCGGGTCTCATGAGGTCACCGGGGGCATTTTGGGCATCCAGCGAGGGACCGGGACAGCTTCTTCTCTTCGTCTCTTCGGAATGGAAACACGTCTTCAGCATTTCTTTTTTTGAGTTTAAACACGTCTTCAGCATGAAAACAGCAGAGATTTGTTCGTAAATAATCACCGACTGGGCTGGGCTGGGCTGGGCTGGGCCGGAGAGGACGGTTCGGGTGCGGCGTTCCGGCCCATCACCGACACGTGGCGGCTCATGGTGACAAGGGAGGAGGGTCAAGCAAGCCGCGTGCGCCCTGCGTTGCATTGCACGCCAAAAACGACTTCTTTTGTTGGTTATAAAACGGGATTATCATCGGTTGGTCGCAGGTCCATATTGCGCGTAACGTCCTCAGCCAATTATATTATTATTATTACTGACTGATCGCTTTGTTATTACTGACTGATCGCTTTGTTTAATCCAGACGAGGTTGTTGGTGCTTTATGAATGCCGTAGAAAATACTGTAATCATGGCTTTACAGCATCTTTAGTGAGGCGTCTCATACGTCCGGGCGGGCTGCCCGGTCACCATTTTTAGTGCTTTTGGATAGTTTTTTTTCCTTCAAAAAATGTCCTTGAGTAGCCGACAAAGGAGTTGCCTTACAGTCTTACAGACATCACTTACAGGTGGGACCCACTAGTAAAAAGATAAAGAAATCTCTCAATCTTTTTCTTTTTTTTGAGGGAAAAATCTCTGAAATCACCCGGTACCATGGAAGGCACTAGAAATAGTAGGATTGGCAGACGGCAAAGACGGCATTACCCGTAGCCCACGCCAATGATCATGCCATGTTATTTATTAGAGCATCTACAGTTGGATTTTTGGGCATGTTCTGCGGAGAGTGACCGGTCACTTTTTTTTTTGTCTGTGTCTATAATTAGGTATCTTATTAGCAAATCCTCAAATTCATTTAATCATATGTAACTAAACTTAAATCAACACATCTCGATCCCATACATAGCATCAGGCTACTTCATAACGATGCCGTTGAACCATCTAAAATTCGCATGCTCAACAACATGGTACATGCCATCAGACTACTAAAAATGCACATGTCCTACATATTAAAACTACGTATAAAGTTCATCCGCGATTGCCTTTGCCCTTGTTGTTGCCCTTGCCATCTTTGTCGCGGAACTAGCGGTCGAAGCCGTGGCGACGAGGCGCCGCTAAAGGGGTTGTGCCGCCATCCCGAAGCTACGGTGCCAGACGGTGGTGACCACGTCTGGCGAGGCCGCGGTCACGCTCTTCGAGGCACCAGCCCCGACGGATCCAAGCACCATTTTACGCTGAAGCGGTGAATTCCCGCCGGATCGAGTCTGACAATGGTGGAGCGGCCTCCTCCCGGGAGCGGCGAAGAGCCATGCAGACGTCCATCTCCCTCCTCATCCCTGCATGGGATGAGGTCCCAGTCGATCGATCAGGAGATCTCGGGGTCGGATCCGCTGCCCGCCATTCTGGAGAAGGCCAGAGATTGTTGCAAAGGAGTTGGGGTGGAGTAAAGTGAACTGAAGTGGTTAGGGTTTCATCCTAAATGTGGATAGGGACAAATATATGTGGAACCGAGGTGGACCGGCATGGGCAGAATCCGGCATGACGGATGCGCCCAGGCATGTCCAGGACCGCCCATATCAGCCTGAGATGGGTGCCGGTCAGTCTGGATACGTTGGGCCGGTTACACAAAGAAAGAGCAGTTCAAGGACAGGAGGGCATGGCAAAATCTAATCCGCAAAATACTCTACCTAGGCCGGGAGACAACGTCCTCCTCCTTCCTCCCACATGGCCACACTTGTGTCAATCAAGGCATGCAGCTCATCAATCAAAGAGACGTTAGCACCACCATCTGAATTCGACAGTGATCCATCATTTCCTTTCCATCTACGCACGACCGCCACGCAATATTCTTTGGTGCGCACGCACTTGGCGAGCACTCGGGGGAGCCGACGAGACGAAACCGAGGAACGGAAAGGACGGGCGTCGGTCGGTCGGCTTGCACCGCATCGCATGGCTTCGTCTCGTCTTCCGGGAACGCCGTGGGTGCACGCAACTCAAGTTGTGTTCAGACTTGACGAGAGCTACTCTCCAACCAACGGCGCTAGTGAAAGACTACTGGCTTGAGCCTTCGTCACTTCGTTTTCTTCAATAACAGCATCCTCGCCCGTGCTCTGCTGTACGACGGTGTTCGATCTGGGGATTATTACTCGAAAGAAAGATCGATGTTCTTGGGCATGATGATTCCAACCAAGGCAGGTAGGTGCTTGCTTGCATGCATGCATGCAGATGGACGGAGCATCGGGTTCATGAGGACTTCGGCCTGTGACCCGTGCTGTCCTGCCGTCGTGTTGGTGCTGATTGTGTGTTGGTAGACAGGCTTTCGAGGAACATGGTAGCATGGATTAGGTGAGGTAGGGTTGCTGGCTGGTGGCACTCTCCGTGTGTGTGTGCGTGTGTGTGTGTGTGTGTGTGGACATGTGGTGGGATCAAGTTTGAGTGAGTGTGGCATGTTGCATCAGGGATTTGATAGGCCTGGTTCAACCAACGGAACATAATGACTTTTGATGAGTCAGAATCGCCTGATGAGACGTTCCATCGGCTGGTCCGGAAAATTGCGAAGCTACAACGTGTCAATCGTTGACGCTGGCGTCCCTTTTGGTTCAGGGGCATTTGGCGAATTTCACTGGCACAGAGGGGGCAGGTCCGTAAAACAAACCGAGATCGAATAACTGCCTCCTTTTATAAAATACTCCTCTCATAATACGTTTGTATTAAAATTAGTACAAAATTGAGTCACTTATTTTGAGAGGGAGGAAGTATGTATAATTTTATACAGAGTATAGAACTCTGTTTTTCGTACAAATATTATGGAGCATGTTTGATTGTAGGGTTGAAAACCGATTAGAAAAATCACCCCCCCCCCCTCCCAATTGAATCTAGTTTCAAGTTTTTATTTGTACGTTAACTATGACAAGCACGTACTCGCTCACATTCTCTTTTTTTATGGACTATGTACCTTTTGAAAGTAGAGCTAGCTAACAACCGAAATCATGACAACTTACTTTTCATTCAGAAGTTGCTTACCACACATACCACGTGGTTGATCGTTCACAAAATTTGACATGCGATTTTATACAATCATGCAAATAAGAGGACCTAAGGATCTGGCCATATTTTACATGCAAAATTTGATATCAAACATATGGCAATTGTGGAAATTGATGAAAATAGTTGCACAGATGTTAAAGGCTTTGCTAGTGCTCAATCACGTAACAAGTTTCTGTATATTTTTAGTCCACCTAAAGAGGTTTGCCCAGAGCATATTTTTTGCACCCAAGGCTCAAGTATGTGATACTCCTGATGCACGAAGCTCGGAAATATAACTTGACAACTATAAAAGTTAATTGTTTTTCCGATAAGTTGAGCACATTCCATATCTACTATATCATAAGAAATTAAATCTCCCCCGAAAAAAAGAAATTAAATCTCAAATCAAACTCAGCTCGAGAAACGAGAACAAAAAATTCAGTCACGCTAGTGTTTTTTTTAACAAGGGAATGGTTCAGAAGGACCCAATATTGCAGTAGTTAAAGCGGTGAACATGGCAAACAAGCCGCTAAATTTTATGAAAAATACCCAAATAGAAAATTAAAACGTTATCGGGTGCAAACTGCTCCCCGGTCGATCCAATTTTCACCAGCACCAGGAGAAGAAGCACTTGGTCCGACGCGATTTTGTACTTTGCACAACTCATACTCCGCTTCGAAGCAGCACCGCCTCCATTACTCATCAAAGGAGGTCAGCCAATCATCAAGTGTGTCGTAGTTCCTTCAGAACCATAATCAATTGTGCTTAGGATCCACATCAAGGCATCAACTGCTACCAGATCCACGCCTAAGGCCTTTCTCTAGATCAGGGGACAACATTGTTGTCGTTGGAAGATCGGATCCAACGAGGCATACCACCAGGTAGCAAAGCCAAGGCAGACCTTCCCACCTAAGAGCATATCCAGCCGTTCGGCCCCCCAGGGCGCTAAAAAAGGGTGGTCTGGGGGCGAACCGGCGCTAGTTCGGTCCCTGGGAGCGACCTAGCTCCCAGTCACGCCCTCAGGCGCCGCTCCCAGGACGTGAAAAATTCGAACTTGATCGTTCCCGCTCACAAAAGACGCCACAAGTCGGGCGATCGCAAACCACAGTTCGGCGTTCAAAAAAATAGAGCGGCAGGAGTTCGCGTGCGCAATGCATCACTCGGCGGAGTTGGTGTGCGCGGGCTTGGCGGTGTCGGAGCAGCCTCTGCGCTAGGCGGTGTTAGCGCGGCTTCGGTGGAGCTGGGCGTCGTGGAGGCGTCATCACGCGGGCTTGGCATCGGCGTCGGCGTGCCCGGTGAGGGCGATCCCCATGGCTGCGGAGAGCCGACGCCTTGCTGGCCCCAGGGAGCGTATTGGGCGTGGCTTCCAGGTGGATTCATCATTCCCGCGCGAGTCGCCTCGGCCTCGGCTTGGTCCGCCGATGAGGCAGCCGCAGCCGCGGGCGCCGCGTTATCGCGGGCCTTCTTGGCGATGGCCCTGTTCCGCCGGTCGGCGGTGACAGCCTCCCGTCGCTGAACTTCCGTCCTCCACTCGGCGTTTGACATGCCCGGTGGCTTGATCGGCGGTGCCCTTGGCTTCCTCTGCTTCGGCTGGGCGACGGAGGCGGTCGCGGGTGCCGCCGCGCGGGGGGCGACGTACTTCTTCGGTGGCATGGCGGCCGACTGGGAGGGAGGCGAGCGGGAGGGAGATTGGCGGGAGGAAGGAAGAGTATGGGAGGGAAATAGGGAAAAGCGGGAAGAAACGGCGGGAAGAGGCGCTCGTCTCGCCGACAAGGCGTGTCGTGGATGTAAGACTGACAGTAGAATGGGGGGTAGGTATGAGGAGGCAAGATCCTAGCTATGGAGTAGTTGTACACACGAGTTTTACGAGTTCAGGCCCTTCTCGGAGGAAGTAACAACCCTACATCTCGGTGCCCTGAGGCGGTCGACTGGATTATGTGTGTGTGAGTTTACAAAAGATGTGAACCCTTGTCCCAGAGGAGGGGGGTGGCTTATATAGAGTGCGCCAGGACCCCAG